AGGGAACATCCATCTCCTAACTCCAAACGCAGGCACCCCGCCCTGCCCCGCTGGCTGTGCCCCGGCCCCGTCCTCTCCCCTTCTCCCCCCCGCCCCAAAAGTGCAGGCCTCTCCCCCGAGGATTCCCTGGGAGGGCAGGAAGGCCCTCTCCCAGCCCTAATTTATGATTTTCTGGCAGCTTCCTTCCTCCCATCACTCCCTTCCAGCCCCAGCCCCAGCTCTGGCTCAGGCAGGAAGGAATGAGCTGGGTGAGAAGGGAAGCTCCGTGGAGCATAAATAACTCGGCCCGGCAGCTGCAGGCCCTCTGGGACCCCCGCCCCTCCCAGGCTCCCCTCTGGGTGCCCAACGGGGTGTCCCCTGCTCGGGGACAGAGGGCCAGGCCCCCAGATGAAAGGAGCAGAAAGTGGGCATTGTTCCCTGACCTGGGAGCCCGGGGCAGACCCCGCCCTCCGGCCAGCCCTTTGTCCGGGCAGCCGCTCTGGAGGCCACTGACGGTTACACGGCCCCTTCCCTTCCGTGACGTCCCGGCTGCTGCCACCTCGGGCTCTGGCAATGCCCAGCACCCTCGGGCTGCTTCCTGGCCTACAGAACGGGCACGATATGGGCACAGACCAGGTGGGCACACACTGGTGTGCGAACAGGGCTGGCGTGGGCAGAGGAGAGAGGCGCTTGGTATGGGCCCAGCGGGAGGCGACAGAGGAAGGAGGCTGGGACCCAGGTTTGTTTGCTGGGAGGAGAGCAGCATTTCCTGTTTGGACGAGGCCAGGGTGGATGTGTCAGTGAGTCCACACCAGAAGGCCTGCTCGGGAAGGCTGTGTGTTTGTGTTTGTGTGTGTGTGTAGGAGCAGGCATGTCCTAGTCCATGTCCCCGTGTGGTCCATGTGTTCTCTCTCACCTCATCAGCTCCCAGACGGAAGTCTAAAACCTGAGCTGCGTTCTCACTTTTGCCCCCAAAGAAGTCCCCCCATCGAGCGGCTCAGCCAGAGGAAGGCAGTGTGGTTCAGTGGGTAGCCACCCGTCACCAGCTGCGGGCCTGGGGCCAGCCCCCACACCTGGGGATCATAAGGCGCCCCCCTCCGTCCCCGGTGGCCGAGAGGAAGGAGGGCTGCAGACAATGCCAGCAAAACGCTTAGCGCAGCGCCTGGCACAGCCAGAGCTCAGGGCCGGAAGCTGCTGACCTTACTGGCAGCTGTGGTCTGGTCTTGGCAGCAGAGAGGACCAGGCCCCAGGGGGGAGGCTCCGCCCACAGGGACAGGCCTGAGACCTCAAGCTTTGGGGGGGAGGGGGCTGGGGGCTCTCCTCCTTGTCTCAGCAAATTCTGAAACCTCATTTCCTGCCCTCCCTTCAGGGAGGGAGGAGGCCGGAGAAGAGGCTGCCATCCACCAGGACGGTGGCCCGTGGAAGGGGCTCTGGGCTGTGCTCACAGGGAGACCAAAGCCGCCTTCATACTTTCCTCGGAGCGTGGGCTCTGGAGCCGGAGGGTCTTAAAAAAGATCCTTTTTGTTGTTGTTCAGGCAAGGACATGAGGCTCAGAGTTGGGGAGGGACCTTGCCCCAGGTCACATAGGAATTGCCATCTAGGCCTCCGGGGCGTTGCGCCCATGCAGTAACCGCCAGGCTACCCCATCACGGGGTGTGACTGTAGTCATAAACATACACCCTGGACAGAGTCTCGGCCTCAGCAAGGACAGGATCCCCACTGATGTCAGATGTTGACGTCAGCTTTGACCGGGAGGGTCCTTGGTGGAGAAACGCCACAGTGGCCTGAAGCCCCCCGAGTTTGGGGGTGAAGGAACGTGTGTGCCATGAGTCACGGGAGCACCTCGAACCTGTTGCAAACAGGCCTGGTGCGGTGCCTCCTCATCCTGTGGTGCCCAGCAGTGGCCCCAGTCACCTGGCCGGCCCTCCCAGGCCCTCCCCAGGGCCCCAGTCACCTGGCCGGCCCTCCCGGGCCCTCCCCAGGGCCCCAGTCACCTGGCCGGCCCTCCCAGGCCCTCCCTCCCCAGGAAGATGGGTTTTGATCCTCGTCACTTGGCCAGACTGAAGACAGGCCTGGGAGTCCCTCAGGAGAGGGACTAAGTCACCGATCTAGCTGTATCCCAAACCAGGGCTGCCCGAAATGGGGTGTGGCTCAGCGGTTGGAGCATCAGCCCGTGCCCCAAAGGGTCTTGAGTTCGATTCCTGGCCCGGGGCATGTGCCTGGATTGCAGGCTCGATCCCCAGCCCCAGGTGGGGCACATGATGTGGGAGGCAACCAATCAACGTAGCTCTCGCATCGATATTTCTCTCTCTCTCCCTCCTTCCCTTCCACTCTCTCTAAAAACATCAATGGAAAAAAATATCCTCAGGTGAGGATTAGCAACAGCAAACACACACACACACACACACACACACACACACACACACACACCAAAAAAAACAACACAAACAAGGGCTACAGAGAGGCACAAAGCTGCATTTCTTGGGGTTCAGTTAGGTGGGGTTCGGTTAGGTGGCACATAGTAGGTGCCCAAAAATCACACGTGAGAGGGAGGGAGGGATGTGAGGCAGGAGAATGTGGGTATCCGGCATTGCCGTGATGTCTGCTCCCTGCCCGCACAGCCATAGGAAACCTGCTCCTGTCCTCCTTACAAAGAGAGACCGAGGCTCAGAGAGGGCAGGGCTTGCCCGTGCTAACTCCGGCACAGGCTCAGCTCGTCTGAACCCAGCTCTCGCCACTGACCCACCCCCTCAGGGCACAGGCTCAGCCCCCTCTGTGTCCGAGCACCCTCCCTCCCTCGTCCTGCCTCCGGCCCCGTACCTGGTGCTGCCAGCCCGGTGAGGCCAGGAGGCAGGCCCCCGAAAAGTCAGAGGTGGAGGCTGGCGGATCCCTCTCGCTGGCCTGTTTCTAGCAGAAATCTTGGATCTGGATAAACCCACGGCAGGATTCTGAGGGGCAGGCCCCCTGGTCACCACCAAGCTGGACAGGGGGCTCCCCGGCCGGTGACTGCCTGCGGCACCCCAATCCGCACAGACACACACACACACACACAGACACACACAGACAGGGGGTTAGACTGTCCTGGAGTTTGGGAGGGTCTGGGCCCCTCTGCTGAGAGCTGTGGCCTCTCCTCATACACACACACACACCCGTCATACCTGTGCGCACACATGCGTGCTCACACATGCATACTCTCACATCACAGACACACATCTGCATACACCCTGGGGGCATTCACAGGCCTCTTCCCAGAGGCTCGCTCACCCACGAACCCCACTCTCAGCCAGTCCTTACCTTATCACAGACGGGAAAACCGGAGCCCCAGACCCGTGGTGGGGCTCGCGAGCCACATGCGGCTCTTTGGCCCCTTGAGTGTGGCTCTTCCACAAAACACCACGGCCTGGGCGAGTCTATGTTGAAGACGTGGTGTTAGAAGAAGTTTAAGTTTAAAAATGTTGGCTCTCCAAAGAAACGTCAGTCGCTGTCCTGTGGATATTGGGCTTGCGGACTGATGAGTTGGCCGGCCACTGCCCAGACCGATGTGTCGTCCACATTCTTTCCCGCTCCTGCTGAAGAGCTGACCCCTCTGAAGTGAGATCTCTGATCAAAACCTAGCTCTTCCAGCCACGGGTCGAGGGCTTTGGGCAAATGAAGTGTGTCCCCCTGCGCCTCAGTTTCTCCATCTGTACCATGGCGATGAGTGGACACTGACCCTATGGGGGTCAACCCAGGTCTCCTCCTCCCAGGGAGAGTGTGAGTGTCTGGGCCCCAGTTTTCTCCTCTGCAAAATGGGGATAGATGTGCCCACCTCTCCCAGCGTGGTTTGGAAATCAAACCGAAATAGGATGTGAAGTGGAGGTCAGAGCCTCAGGCACTGAATCCCTAAAAAAAAAAAAAAAAAGAGAGAGAGAGAGAGAGAGAGGGAGGGAAAGCCCTGGCGCGGCTCAGTGATCAGAGCGTGGGCGCCGAAGGGTCTCGGGTTCAATTCCTCCGACAAGGGCACGCACCTGGGTTGCAGGTTTGACACGGGCACCTGCAAGAGGCAACCAGTCATTAATGTGTGTCTCTCCTCCCCCCTTCTTCCTCCAAAAATCAATGGGGAAAGTATCCTCGGATGAGGATGAACAACAGAAGAGGAAGAAGAAGAAGAAGAAGGAGGAGAAGGAGGAGAAGGAGGAGAAGGAGGAGAAGGAGGAGAAGGAGGAGAAGGAGGAGAAGGAGGAGAAGGAGGAGAAGGAGGAGAAGGAGGAGAAGGAGGAGAAGGAGGAGAAGGAGGAGAAGGAGGAGAAGGAGGAGAAGGAGGAGAAGGAGGAGAAGGAGGAGAAGGAGGAGAAGGAGGAGAAGGAGGAGAAGGAGGAGAAGGAGGAGAAGGAGGAGAAGGAGGAGAAGAAGGAGAAGAAGGAGAAGAAGAAGAAGAAGAAGAAGAAGAAGAAGAAGAAGAAGAAGAAGAAGAAGAAGAAGAAGAAGAAGAAGAAGAAGAAGGAAGGAAGGAAGGAAGGAAGGAAGGAAGGAAGGAAGGAAGGAAGGAAGGAAGAAAGAAAGAAAGAAAGAAAGAAAGAAAGAAAGAAAGAAAGAAAGAAAGAAAGAAAGAAAGAAAGAAAGAAAGAAAGAAAGAAAGAAAGAAAGAAAGAAAAGGGAGAAAGAAAGAAGAGGAAAGGGAGAAAGGGGAAGAGGCTCCCGCATCCTTCTTTCCAGCCTGGCCCCCGGGTCCAGGATGCGCCCGGGGACGGCGCCAGGACCCAGGCCCGGCCGGCCCCGCAGCCCGCGCGCCCGCATCCCGCACCGGGCGCCCCGCGGCGCCGGCCGGGCCAGGTGGGCACCTGGCGGGGCTCCCGGCGGCGGTCCCCCCCCCCCCCCCCCCCCCCGGCCTTCCGGGTTGGCGCGGCGGCGCGGGGCGGGGGGCTGCGGAGGGGCCCGCCCCTCGCCCTCCTCCCCTCCCTCCTCCTCCTCCTCCCCTCCCTCCTCCTCCCGCCCCGCGCCGGGCCGCTCCGTCCGGCGGCGCAGCGCGGCGGCGGCGCAGCATGGGCGGCCCGCGGGCCTGGGCGCTGCTGGGCCTGGCGCTGCTGCTCCCGCGGGCCGGCGCCGCCTGGAGCGTCGCGGGAGCCCCGCTGCCCGGACGCAGGTAAGGCCGCCCCCACCGTCCCCCGCCGGCCTGTGTGTGTCTGTGTGTGTGTGTCTGTGTGTGTGTGTGTGTCTGTGTGTGTGTGTGTCTGTGTCCGTGTGTGTGTGTCTGTGTGTGTCTGTGTGTGTGTGTCTGTGTGTCTGTGTCTGTCTGTGTGTGTGTGTCTGTGTGTCTGTGTGTGTGTGTCTGTGTCCGTGTGTGTGTGTCTGTGTGTGTCCGTGTGCCTGTGTCTGTGTGTGTGTGTCTGTGTGTGTGTGTCTGTATGTCCGTGTCTCTGTGTGTGTCCGTGTGTGTGTGTCTGTGTGTGTCTGTGTGTGTGTCTGTGTCCGTGTGTGTGTGTCTGTGTGTCTGTGTCTGTGTGTGTGTGTGTGTGTTGGGGGCGGGGGGAAGGGGTTCTGGGCCGCCGGCTCCACTATCCAGCAGAGGCACCCAAAGTGCGAGGGTCCCGGACTCCCTGGGTCGGAACCGGCAGCCTCCTCCAATCCCCCCTTCTCTCCCCCCCATGCCCCCCGGAGGCCCAGAGAAGAGGGAAGGACACCGGGGAGAACACCCCCCAGCCCAACCCCCATCCCTCCCCGCGGGGCACAGGGAAAGGCCAGGACAGCCCCTGGCTGACACCCTGGGCGCTCTCGCCCTTTGCCTCGCTCCAGCTTTTTGGGGGCTTTTTTGGGGGCGGCTGTGGCTGTTTGTTTCTCCGGAGGAGGAAGACTGGGGGGGTCAGGGCCCCTGGGTCAGGGGTGGCCCCCAGGGGCCAGCGTTGGGACCCAGATGGGAGGAAGCACTGCCTTCCTGCCGCCGCTCTGCTCTCCCCGGGGCTGCGGGCACTCTCTCCGCCGGTGTCCGTGGGGCATCGTCGGGGCGGGGGGGGGGGGGCGCCTCACAGGCAGCGTCCTCCTCCTTCAAGGACCGGAGGAGCGTGGGAGCCCTCGTTCCCATTTAGCAGATGAGCAAACGGAGGTCCCAGAACACGAACACGACCTTCCAGGCTCTGGGATTCACATCTGTGTCTCCTGGCCCCGGTGACACTGTCTGAACCTGCCTGGCCCCGCTCCTGGCCGCAGCCCTGCCCCTGCTGCTGTCCCCCCGAAGGGCCAGCTCAGCGGGCAATGCAGAGCAGCCGGGCCTCGCCAGGCCCTCCCATTGCATCCAAATGCCCGCCTGGCCCCCACCCCCCAGGCCTCACTCTTTAGACTCTTTTCGGAAATTCTCCTTGCCCGATGGTCTGGGGGGCCAGCATGCCTCCGCCAGGCTAGCAAGAGCAGGTGACCGGGGCAGGGCCGGAGAGCAGAGGTGGCTGGGGCATCAGAGGCCAGAAGGGCATTTGTCTGAGAGACGGATGGGCGGGGGGCAGCTGGCACGGCCACCACCTTCCGCGGGCTGACTCTTCCACCTGCATCCATCGCTTCCAGAACCTTCCCGGCTGCCTTAGGAGGCACGCGTTTTTGGGGTCCCTGTTTCTTAGGGGCTGGGGGATGGACAGGGGTAAGGGGTGAGCCGAGCCAGTTCTGCACAGCCCCAAGGCACCCTGGCTCTAGGGGGGCAGTGTGCGTGTCTCAACGTCTCACTGCATTCCTGGGGCTGGGATTGGCCCCCTGGATGCCTTCTTAGAGGGGAAACTGAGGCTCAGAGAGGGGACGGACGTGACCTGCCTCGCACACGGATGCGAGCCCCAGGGTCCCAGGGGCTGAGATGATTGAGACTCCGAGCTAGGAGCTCCCGTTGTCGGATGGGGATGATGGTCCAGGGGACCCGAGGCCCAGCCTGTCCTCCAGCCAGGCAGTTTGGGAGGGGCCTCCCACCCTGGGGTCCTCACCCGCCTCCAGGGTCTGGCTGGGAGCGGGATAGGGGCGGTGGGTGGGTACCCAGTGGTCCCTGGGGCCTGTCACCCTATCTGGGCACAGAAGGCTCCCAGTGGCCTGAGCGTCACAAAAGCCCAGGGGGGCGCTGCTGTCCCTCCGTCATCGGTTCCCAGATCCAGGGTCCCTTCGGCCCAGCAGAGGTCTCCGCTTGCAGGTTTGGGAGAGGCCGTGGTGCGGAGTTCGGGGTCCCGGCCCTGGTGCCCCCCCCCAGCCCCCTCTACTCGCTGTGTGGCCTCAGGCAGGTCCCCGGGTCTCACTTCCCCTGCTCGCAGGCCTGCTGTCAGGACGGACAGAGGACCCGCTGGGGCCCTGACCTAGAGCGGCTTCTGCGATCCCCAGCGTGGGGGGCGGGGGACCCCCGGCTGGAGGGATCCGGAGTCCTCCCTGCCAGGACTTCCCCGCGTGGCCCCATCCCTGCATGGGGAGACGGCGTGGGGATGTCTCACCGCGTCAGCCCTCCCTCCACCCCCAGCCCGGCGCCCCAGGCACCCCTTGGCAGCCGAGGGACAAGAGGCAGAAAAGAGGCTTTGTGCCTGGGGAGGGGGGGCCGGGAAGGCATCCAAGGGGCCGCCCCCAGCCCCAGGAATGCGGTGAGACTCTGAGACACACACACACACACACACACACACACACACACACATACACACACACACCGCCCCCCTCTCCCCCAGAACCAGGGTGCCTTGGGGCTGTGCAGAGCTGGCTTGGCTCACCCCTTAGCCCTGTCCGTCCCCCAGCCCCTGCTGGGCCTGCTTCCTGTCTGCCCTCTGAGGTCCCTTCCAGCCTGAACCCGCGTCCAGACTTAGAGCCGTCCCCGGCGCCCTGGCCAGGCCTCTTGTCCCTGAAGTGCTGGCTTCCTGTGGGCCCGTCCCAGGACAGAGCAGAGCGGAGAAGGCTCTTCCCGCCCTCCTCCAGGGAGCTCACAGCCCGGCTCCACGCCCACACCCACACGGTGACCTGGTGATTTCTCTCGGAGCCTCAGTGTCCCCCTCTGTACAGTGCCTACCCTGTAGTCAAGGGGAGGACTTGGTGGTGGCGATACTGGGCCCGCGCTGGGGGCTGGGGGGCCGGTGCCATAGTCCAGGGACAAGCAGCACCAAAGGCGGTTAGCGCCGTGCTGAGGAGGAGAGGCTGCTGCCCCCATTTGCAGACGGGCAAGGTGAGGCCCAGGCAGGTCCGGGGCCTTGTCCGAGGTCACCGAGCGAGGGATCCGCGGTGCTAGGGCTGGGACTTCGCTTCCAGCATGGGGGTGGGGGGTTCCGGCTCCCGTCACCCCACCCCCGCCCGGTACGTCTCCTCTCTTTCCTCTCCTTTTCATAACCGCCCTTGGCCCCCAGCCCACTTGGCTGCCTCCCGCAATTAGCCCCTATCGCTGTTCCGGATCACAGCCCCGGGCCCTGCGGAGACTGAGTCCCCTGGGCCCCTCGGCTAGGGGAGAGGGCTGGGGGGCGGAGGGCTGGGGGGACGGGGGGAGGGAGATGGTGGGGACAGCTGGCTCCAGGCGGAGCTGGTCTGTCCTGTTTTCTCTCCCCCAGTGGCCTCTGGGGGCCCAGAGGGTGCTGAGTGGGCAGGAGTGGCAGGCCCAGGAGGGAAGGGTGCCCCCCCCCATCCCTTCACCCTGGCCCCGTCCCACAGGTGCTGGCCCGGCCTCGCCAGGTTCTCGGACAGCGTATCCCCCTCCACACCCCGGAGAAGAAGCCCGGGGCCTCAGGGCGGGGGCAGGGGCTCCTGGGGCCGCAGACATCTCCGGTGCCCGGGCTCCTCTGCCCAGGGCCACCGCGCTCAGCCATTCGGCACGCCTCTCCGAGCGCCTCACCTGCACCCCGTCCCGGCCGCCGGTCTTTCCCCCAAACCCTCAGGGCTGCTGGGGCCCTCAGGCCGAGACCCCAGTGATGACAGGGAGAGCAGGAGTGCGCACGGATCTGAGTGTGCACAGGGGAGGGAGGGAGGAAGGGCAGGAGGGTCAAAGAGGGGTCGTGGGAGTGAGGGGAGGGGAGCTGCGGGTGGGACAGAGCAGCAGGGCTGGCAGGGGGTGGGGACTCATTACAAAGAGCTCCTGCTGCCTGGAAAGTGGACGGAGGGGCCAGGAGGGGCCAGAGGGCCAGGAGGGGCCGAGGGCGGCGGGGCCAGGCTGGCTGGGACCCTGGACGGGAACTCAGGGCTCATCCCGGGACAGGGGGCCCGGGAGGGGTGAGGCATGGGTGTGGGTGACGCCCCCGGAGAGAGGGGATGAAGGACTCACCTCGCACCCCACCTGGCCCGAGTGTCCCCTTCTCTGAAATGTCTGGCTCGCTAGCCACCAGCTCCGTGTCTCCTGAGCAGAGGATGCAAGCAAACTCCCACATGCGGGAGGCAAACCCGGAGCCTCACAGAGCCCACCCGGGGAGGTCTTAAGGGAGGAGGAGAAGGAAAGCATTGTTCCCTGTGGCTCCCTTCGGGCCATCTTCCCCGGGGACGTGTGTGAGGGTACACAGCCCGCCTCTGCAGGCGTGGACCCCGTGCAGAGAGGGCAGTCCTTTCTGTCGGCTTTGCTTCGGTCTGACTCTGTGCTCGAGTGCGTGTGTATGTGGGTCTGTGCGTGTGCAGGTGCATGGGAGTTGCATGCACGTACGCATATGTGAGTGTCTGTGTGCACGTGCGTCCGTGTGCTCACTGCATGTGCATACTGCTGTGTGTGTTTGAGTTTGCCTCTATGCGTTATGCGTACGTGTCTGTCCACTGGCATGTGGTCCTCCCTCTGTGCCCAGGGCCCCCTCCTGTGCCCGGGTGCTTCCTCTCTCCCTTCTTCCCTCACTCACAAGGCCCCTGGGGCACTTCACCGGCTGCAGGAAGCCCCTGAGCCCCCCTGATCGTGCACCTCACATTTTGTGCATTTTTCTGGGGTACACATCATTTTCCCAAAGGGGCTTATGTCCCCCCAAAAAATACACAACCCCAACAGTTTTAAACCCACAGCTCCTGGGACCCAGAGGCTTTCAAAGGCTTTGGGGGGCCTTTTGGGAAGGAATCTTATGAATAAAGCCCCCCTCTGCTCGTCAGGAAAAACATGTCCAGCACAAGGTCAGGACCACACGCTCTGGAGTCAGCCGGACCTGGATCCCACCCACGACCGTGTCACGCATGCTGGGCGCCTGGGGCACGACCCAGACCCCAGAGCCTCGGTCTTCCCACCCAAAACGTGGGGCTGACACTCGGGCGTGTGGGAGGCCCTGGGCCCAGCTCTCGGCACGCAGCAAGCTCAGCCAGAGAAAAAGCTCCTCCGTGCTCCCCAAAATGGCCATGGGGTGTGAGCGTGTGCCTGGGCCTAACTCGTGCACACAAAGCCACTTGTGCCTCCGCGGGTGCAGAGTAGTCTGCTTTCTCTTCCTCTCTGGGCGCACAGAAATGCCGTCTTGCCCCGGTGGTCTGCGCGGGCGTCGTGGTCTGTCCACCGAGGCCGCGGGCTCTTCCCCAGCACCCGGGTCCCGCGGTCCCGTTCCGGCCGCTCGCAGGTGTGCCCTGTGGGGAGCTCCTGTCCCCCCTCCTGGGCGTGGCCGGCCGCTGCCTCTGCTGGGCTCCTGCCATCCCTTCCCCCTGCTTTCCCGCCCCCACGCCTTGGGCTGAGCCGTTCCCTCCTCCTGGACGGATTCCAGGGGACAGAGGGGACTTCCCCGGGTGGCAGGCTGGCCCTGGCCCAGGCGCTCCTCCAGGTGGGCCTGGCGGGGGCGGGCGGCGGGCATCTCGGCGGCGATGGCTGGGACATTCCCGGCGCTCAGTGGCCCCAGCCCTGCACGGGTCAGGACTCCGCTGTTCGCCGGGGCTGGGAAAGGAGGGGCCGTTTCAGGTGACCCTTCTCAGCCTGAGGCCCCTCAGCCTCCCCCCACTCCCTCCCACCAGACTTTCCTCTGTGACCCGAAGCCCGGGGTCAGCAGGTTCCCAGGCTGGGCCTGCTCAGAGCCCTGGACCGTGGCTCAGGAGACGGACAGGAGGCAGGAGCGGAGGCCTCTGGGATGGAGTGAGGGCCACGCTGGGCCATCCAGAGTCCTGGCTTCCAATCCGCTGCCCCAGGCGCCGGCTCTGGGGCATGAGCAGTTTCCCCCTCCCCGAGCCTCCAGGGGACCCTCTGTGTGACGGGGGAGGAGGGTGCTTTCTGGATGGATCACGGCGGGAAGCACACAGAAGGTGCTCCGGCTGTGCAGTGCAGTGTGACGGTGAATCAGCCTCCGGAGAGGTCCGCTCTCCGTGCTGGGACATTGTGCCTCCCGCCTGGCACACAGGGGGGGCACATGGGTAAGGGAGGCAGGGCCCCTCCTCCGTGCCAGGGAGGGAGCGGCGGAGGTGAATCACAGCTCAACTCAGCGTGACAAGCTTCCGGGGCTGCGGGCGGGGGAGGAAGGGAACCATCCTTCTGCTCAGGTGGAGGTGGGGGTGGGGGTGGGAGTGGAGGTGGAGGTCGGGGTGGAGGTGGAGGTGGAGGTGGAGGTGGAGGTGGAGGTGGAGGTGGATGGAGGTGGAGGTGGAGGTGGAGGTGGAGGTGAGGGTGGGGGTGGAGGTGGGGGTGGGGGTGGAGGTGGGGGTGGGGGTGGGGGTGGAGGTGGGGGTGGGGGTGGAGGTGGAGGTGGGGGTGGAGGTGGAGGTGGATGGAGGTGGAGGTGGAGGTGGAGATGGAGGTGGATGGAGATGGAGGTGGAGGTGGGGGTGGAGGTGGAGGTGGAGGTGGGGGTGGGGGTGGGGGTGGGGGTGGGGGTGGGGGTGGGGGTGGAGGTGGAGGTGGAGGTGGAGGTGGGGGTGGAGGTGGAGGTGGGGGTGGAGGTGGGGGTGGGGGTAGAGGTGGAGGTGGATGGAGGTGGAGGTGGAGGTGGAGGTGGGGGTGGAGGTGGAGGTGGGGGTGGGGGTGGGGATGGAAGTGGGGGTGGGGTGGGGTGGGGTGGGAGTGAGGGTGAGGGTGAGGGTGGGAGTGGAGGTGGGGGTGGGGAAGGACAGGGGGGCAGTGGGGAGCACAGCAGCTGTGAGGTGAGAGGTGCCCGATGGGGACGTGGAGGGAGGGAGCTCGGGCAGCGGGCCCAGCATGAGCAGGGGCCTGGGGGTGCGGGATCTGGGGAGACGTGGGCACAAGAGAGCTGCAGGCTGAGGGTGGGGGCGGGCCAGCCCAGGTTCCATTTTGTGATGGAGAGACGGAGGGGCAGGGCGGAGAGGCCGCTGCTGTCACCCAGGGAGGTGGGAGGCACGGGCCTGGAGAGTCAGGGTTGGAGAGTGGAGATGCCGAGAAGGGAGAGGCCCTTCAGAGACACCTGCTCCATCTTGTCCCCCGACGTTCATTCCCCCAAACCTCTCAAGAGCCCCCAGCACGGCCACCCCTCTGGGCTGTGGGGTCCGCGCCTCAGCCACCCCAGCTCAGACGCCCAGGGGGACCCGAGGGCGCTGAGAACCCGGGGTCTCTCTGCCTGGACACTGGCGGGGGGGGGGGGGGGGGAGTCCTGGCGAGAACCCAGCGCTCCTCGCTCCCCACCCCGGGGTCCGGGCAGGGCGGGGCCCGGCTGAGCGGCCCCGAGCGAGCGTCCTCCCCGCGGATGCTCTGTTTCAGGAACTGGTGCTCCTACGTGGTGACCCGCACGGTCTCCTGCCACGTGCAGAACGGCACGTACCTCCAGCGCGTGCTGCAGAGCTGCCCCTGGCCCATGAGCTGCCCGGGGAGCAGGTGAGGGGGACGGAGCGGGTGGGGGGCGCAGCATGGGCCGAGGCCTGGCGGTGGGGGCGCAGGGGGTGTGCAGGGGGAAGGCCGGGACCCCACGGCCGGTGGAGCAGAGGGAGCGCTGGCCCTATGCCTGTTCTCAGTACGGCCCTTGGTGTTCCTGGGGGGCACCCTGGAGGGCTTCCTGGAGGAGGCGTCCCCGCCATTCACCCCCACGCCTCCCCTCGGGGAGCGTTCGCTGCTGGGGACCAGCGGCGGCGGCGGCGGCGGCGGCAGCGGCAGCTCCACTTGCAGGGGCTGCCTGTCCCGCTGGCATCCGGGTCCCAAGGCTGGGGGAGGGTGGGGAGGGGGCACAGGAGACCCCGGGGGCCCTGCGAACGCCCCGCGGGCGGCGGGAGAGACGGCAGCGGGCCCCGTCGGCATTCTCGCAGCTACAGGACCGTGGTGAGGCCCACGTACAAGGTCGTGTACAAGACGGTGACCGCCCGGGAGTGGAGATGCTGCCCCGGGCACGCGGGGGCCGGCTGCGAGGAAGGTAGGGCTGCCCCCGCCCGGGTTCGGGAGGGCGCTCGGCCGGAGCGGGCAGCTGTCGCTCGGTCGTAGACACGGCCGCGCCCAGTGCCACGCACGCCGTGGTCCCCTGCCCAGAGCTGCCCGCGCGGCCCGGTGCCCGCTGTTCCCAGGGTTGACCGCCTGCCCCGTGGGAGACTCTGGGGAAATGTGATGCACGCTGTGCAGCTCGTGTCTGCAGTCACACCCCCCCCCCCAAGCCTTTCTCCCAGACCTGTCCACGGGAGCCGGTCACGGCAGCAAAGGGCCACTTAGGCGGGTGGGTCAGCAAGGTCGGGACGCTCATACCCATCCTGCTGGGAGGAAGAGGGGAGGGCGGGACCCTGGGGCCAGAAGGGGCTGCTGCCGAGGAGGCCAGGGGAGCTGGAGGTGGGGAGGGGCGGACCCCCAGGGCGTGGGGCTCCCTGGGCCTGGAGGGCCTGAGCTATGGCAGGGCCTCTACCCAGACCAAGGCCACCCTGGCCCTGGCTGCCCTCTCCGGGGCAGACCTTCGCGGGGCTGTGGGACCACCGTGGAGGGCAGAGCCCCCACCCTAGAGCCCAGCAGCTGGAGGCCGGGCATCCAGGCACCGGGCTGAGGGCTGGGAGCTCTGCCACTGGAGCGGCAGGGGGACAAGACGGGATGGGCCGGGCCAGCCCCGGCGGCTGCCAGCTCCCTCTGCAGGGCCTGCGGGGCCCAGCCCGGGGCCGGGGTTATCCCAGGCTTGGGGGGGCCAGGCCAGCGCCACCGCACACGGGCTGCGTGGCCTGGGGCCGGGGACTCCCCGCTCTTGTGCAAGCGGTTGTGCAAGGGCCGCGAGGGGGGCGGGCTGCACCGTCTCCGGCTGCTCGGAGGACACCAGGCTGCTCTTGCAGCCTCAGGGTCTCCCTGGGACCCCGTCAGGAGAGGGGTCTGCCTCCCGGGCACAGCGGGAGGGTGCAATGGAGCAGGGAGAACCCTGCAGAGGGTGCAGGCCCTGCTGGGCCCTCGTGATGGCTGATGGGGTGGGAAGGGTGGGGGCTGGGGAAAGGGTGGGAGTGAGGGAGTTCTGGAAAACCGCTCTCTGCGGGGGGCCCTGGGAGCCGGAGTGAGCCTCGCAGGGCACGGCTGGCCCACCCCGGCCCTCCCTTCCTCTGACAGCCGGCTTTGGGCGGGCTTCCCGGCCTGTGCGGCGCTGGGCCATGACCTTGGGGCCAGGGAACTGCGTCACAGGCTGCAGGGCAGGCTCCCCTGGCTTCCGCTTCCCCGTCTGCAAAGAGGGGGTGCGACAGGCGCCCACTCACGGGCTCGGAGGATAACGAGTTCAGACCAGCCCGGGGACGTGCCTGCACCGTGCCAGGCCCAGCGTGCACGCTGCCCCCGTGTGTGCTGCTGCAGCTGGTGCCTCCCTGGCAGGACTGAGCCGGGCTACAGGACATACCGAGCGCTGGCCATGGCACCCCCCGTCTTGCCCACTGAGCCTCCAGTCCCTGCCCCCGTCCTGGGCTGCCACCCACCTTCCTCCCTCCTGGGTGAGGTTTACCCCCACCTCACGGGTCCCTGGGGACGGGGTGCTGGCGGCGCAGACCCAGCCTGCGCGCAGGCCCGCGGTGGGACCGAGCGGGGTCTGGCCGGAGGGACCCGTCTGGTTTGAGTTCCTGGCGCCTCTCGCTCCCTGCACCAGCCCACAGCCCCGCTCGGAGCTGCCAGGGCTGCCCCTTATTTGGATCTTGTCTCCCCCGCCCCAGACAACAGCCCAGACAACACTCGGTGGCCTTAAAAGGCAGGCCCGGGGGGCAGCGGGGAGCAGTTGCCCTGCTGGCTCCAGAGCCCCTCCAGCTGCACCCCCTCCCCGCCCGCCCGCCCCCGGCTTGGCCAGCCCAGCCCTCCGGCTGTGGAGGAAAGCAGGCCCCCCAGAACCAGACCAGCCAGGCCGCCTGCTCCAGGGGGGAGGGGGGTGGTGACAGGGGTGGGCCCTGGGAACCGGCCTCCCGTGCCCTCCCAGGCGGCCGCCTCCCTCTGTTTTTCATTTAGAACCGTCTGGGTTCCCTGCCGCGTCGTCTCACTGAGCGGGGCAGGGAGAGGGTGGACAGCCACGTCGCCACTGCCTGTCACTGATGTGCGGGCCCTTAGCCGGGGAGATAGAGTGGCCTGATGGCCCCATTTCACAGATGGGAAAGTGGTTCCAGAGAGAACAAGTCACACAGGTCTGCAGTGACAGGGCTGGGACCCAGCCTTGCAGCTGTTACCGCTCAGCTTTTTTTTTTTATATATATATTTTATTGATTTTTTTTACAGAGAGGAAGGGAGAGGGATAGAGAGCTAGAAACATTGATGAGAGAGAAACATCGACCAGCTGCCTCCTGCATACCCCCCACTGGGGATGTTCCCGCAACCAAGGTACATGCCCTTGACCGGAATCAAACCTGGGACCCTTCAGACCACAGGCCGACGCTCTATCCACTGAGCCACACCGGTCAGGGCCCTCTCACCTTTTAACACATGCAGCTTGTTGGGGTGATTGCGGAGCCCCCGTGGCCCCTACCCATCGCCAGCCCCCTCGCCCCAGCCCCACCAGGCTGCCAGCCTTGTTCATGCCGTGTGACCGGGTGTCAGCTGCCCCCCTTCCTGGGCCGGCGTTCCCCGCTGCACTGAGGGGAGCAGAGGTCCCTGCTGGGGCTCAGGGCAGGGGGCGGGGCTCTGACCTGACCAGGAGGGCCAGGCCGGCAGGGCTCTCACCCCCGCCGCCCCCCAGTTGCAGGCTCCTCCGGCTTCGTGGAGCCCAGATGGCCCGGCAACGCCATGCGGCGGGTGATGCTCCGGCCCACAGCCTTCTCAGGTGGGTCCTGGGGCAGCTGCGTGCGGGGCCCCTGGGCTGGGGGAGGCTGGGGGGGGGCGGTGTGCTGACTGCCCGGAAAGCCATCTTGGCCCAGCTGTGCGGGGCCAGGAGAGTGCCCTGCCCCTGCCTGCCCCACGCTGCCCCTGCCTGCCCCAGGCTGCCCCTGCCTGCCCCAGGCTGCCCCTGCCTGCCCCAGGCTGCAAAGAAAACCGAGGGGGAGAGGAAGGGCTCCCGAGGAGATCTGACCTGGGCCCAGCCACCCCGAGACCGTGACCCCCAGTCTCTTGCAGAGACAGGTCCGTGCCCCTAGTTTGCTCTTTTCATAGCCATATAAACTTTTTAAAAATATATATTTTATTGATTTTTTTTTACAGAGAGGAAGGGAGAGAGATAGAGAGCTAGAAACGTCGATGAGAGAGAAACATCGATTAGCTGGGGATGTGCCCGCAACCAATCTACATGCCCTTGACTGGAATCGAACCCGGGACCCTTCAGTCCGCAGACCGACGCTCTACCCACTGAGCCAAACCGGTTTCGGCGCCATATAAACTTTTTATTGATTTCTGAGAGGCAGGGAGAGGGAGAAAGCGATAGAAACATCGATGATGAGAGAGAATTGGTGATCACCTGCCTCCTGCACGCCCCACACTGGGGATCCAGCTCGCAACCCAGGCCTGGGCCCTGACCGGGAATCGAACCGTGACCTCCTGGTTCTTAGCGACGCCCAACCACTGAGCCTGCCGCCACTGCCACAGGCTCCTCTCTTTGTTTGAACTAAGCTGAGCGTCTGCACTGTGAGAGGCACCGTGCCAGGTGCTTTCCGCAGCAACCTGTTTAAACCTCAGGGTCCCTGCCGAAACCGGTGTGGCCAGTGGCCTGCGGACTGTAAGGTCCCAGGTTTGATTCCGGTCAAGGGCATGTACCTTGGTTGCGGGCACATCCCCGGGGGAGGGGGGGGGCGGGGGGGGGGGCGTGCAGGAGGCAGCTGGTCCATGTTTCTCTCTCATCGATGTTTCTAACTTTCTATCCCTCTCCTTTCCTCTCTATAAAAAATCAATAAAACATATTTTTAAAAAATAATAATAATAAATAAATAAATAAATAAACCTCAGGGTTCCTGTCCCCCTCTCAGAGAGGAGGAAGCTGAGGGTCAGAGAGAAGGCGTGCCCTGCCATCGGCCCCACTAACAGGAAGGGGCAGCACTGAGACTTGACTGACCTTAGGCTCCGTGCCTGCTACCCGCCCGTCCTCCCCTGCTCTGAGCTCAGTGCCCTCAGGGGCGAACGGGCCGACATTTGTCCTAAAGCACAGATCGAGGTGAGGATGGGAGAGACGGGCTTGCCCAGCTCCCCACAGGGCCCGGCCACCCGGAGGCTCAGGGACCAGCCGGAACTGGCACGCACAGCAAAGGGGCGTCGCCGGGAGGCTCAGGCGCCGGACAGTGGTTCCGGAGGGAGGGCCCCGGGGTGGCACCTCTGAGGCCAGCCCATTGCAGACTCTAATGTGTCATTCGTCCCCAGCGCCAGCAGGCCCGGGCAGCCCCGCCCACGGGGGGGAGGGGGAAGCCACAGGATTTCCTGCCCCCGCTTCCCGGAAAGGAGTCCCTTTGGATGCCAAGGCTGCAGGGGTTGGCTCCCTGGCCCTGCTCTGGGAGAACCTGCAGGGCATGGTCCCCCCCCCAGCCCCGCCCCGGACAGGCCATTCCTGCAGCGTCTCCCCTGGCTGGGCTGGGCTGGGCTGCCTCATGGGCGGGCATCCTCAGGGTCCATTCCCTCCCTCTGTCCTGCCTCCAGGTTGTGTCAACTGCAGCAACGTGTCTGACCTGGCCGAGCGGCTGAAGGTGCTAGAGACCAAGGTGGGTGAGCAGTGAGCAGCGGTCCCCTTGTCCCCAGCCTCCCCACCCCGTCTCTGCACCCCAGGCTCACAGCATTCATCCCCCCCCCCGCCCCGCCCTCCCGTCTGGCCCCGCCGTGCCCCTGCCCGGGAAGCCTGCTCCTCCTCCAGGAGTCCCCCACACAGTTCCCCCCACGTGCACCCCCATTCCCACCCCAGCCAGAGAGTGGCAGACACCCCTAGGGCTCATGGCCGGGCTCCTCCTTGCCCCATCCCCTTCATCCTTCATCGCCACCTCCCAGTGACAGGAGCAGCCATCTCTCGCACATCCCAAACGTCCCTTCAGAAAGGTTTGGGCGATTAGAAAGTAAGACGCTCATGTTCCTGAAACATAAAACACTCAGAACCGTGGCAAACCTGCCCACAAGCCATTGGCAGCCGCCCGTCCCCGGGAGCGGGGCGCCCTCACACGTAAGCATCTTTCCCCGATTATGGGGAGGCGTACTCGCTGCCCACACCTCCTTCCCTCCGTCACTCCTGCCTCTGGGAACTGGTCTTACGGAGACCAGATGTGACGATGTTTACCAACGTGCTGACTGTCCACCTAGGAAATCTGAAAACCCGAGAGCAGACGGGGTGGGTGGCATCATTAGGGAGCAAGGCGCATGGAGTGTTGGGCAGCCCTGAACGCCTCCTCCTTTTTTTAGATATATATTTCTAATTGGTTTCAGAGAAGAGAGAGAGAGAGAGAAAGAGAGAGAGAGAGAGAGAGAGAGTGAGAGAGAGAGAGAGAAACATCAATGATGAGAGTCATTGATTGGCTGCCTCCTGCAGGCCCCACCCTGCAGCCCATTGGCTGGCCTGTCCCCTGGCGAGGCCCTGGTACCCGCCCCATCCATCTCTCTCCCTCTTCCTCTCCCTCTGTCTCCACAGGTGGCCGTGCTGACTGTTTCCCAGCAGACGGTGCCCCCAACCCCAGCTGCCCCCGAGGATCCCGCCCCTCTCTGGGGCTCCCCCGCTGCCCAGGGCAGCCCTGGGGACGGAGACCTCCGAGGTGAGTGGGTCGGTCCTGTCTCTACTCCGTGCCGGCTCCCAGCTCCACCCCCTTGTGGGCCGGGGTCTTCCCTGATCGCTGGGGTCCTGGGAGGCCCACAGACCCTGCCCCACCTCCTCTGGTGGCAGGGACCCTGGATGACACAGACCCCACCCCCCCACCCGCAGCTCCAGGGCTGCCCGGAGCCAGAGACACCCCGAGGGCCCCGCTGCTCCCGAGAGCCGGTAGGTGCCGGCTGGGGGGCCAGGGCCGGGCAGGAGCGAGGCCAGGGCTGATGGGATTTCTCCCCCAGACCAAGTCGGTGCCCGGGGCCTTCCCGGGCCTGTTGGCCCCAAGGGAGACACTGGCAGCCGGGGCCCGACGGGAATGAGAGGCCCCCCAGGTGAGTGTCCACAGCACGGCCCCCCTAACTGTCCTGGCCAGCCCGCCCCTGCCCCCCACTTTCTGGTGAACCGAGGCTGGGATCTTCCTTCCCCGACCCTGACACTGACCCAGCCAGGGGTGGCCGGGCCCCTTCCCCTCGCGTGTCTCACTCCCCCCGTCCAAGGGGGCCCTCTTCCGTCTTCACGGAGCCCGGCCGTGGCCTCCGGGAAGCTGCTCCCAGCAGGCTCTGGGCTGGGCGCTGGGGGGGCCCTCCCGGAGCTCCCGGTACTGGGAGGGCAGAGACAGCAGTGCCCACCCACGTGACCAGGGCTGTTATGGGGACATTGCAGGTACAGGCCAGCTCCAAGGAAGAGCTTTCAGACCAAGCCTGGATGGCGTGGGGGCGGGGAGGGCTTCCCAGGTGAGGCCTAAAGGATGGCCCACGTGTACACCAGGAACAGCAGAGGGAGGACTGAAAGAGGGAACGGCACATGCGAGGCCCTGGAAGGGAGAGGAGAGAACATTCTGGAAACATTCTTTTTTTCTTTTCCTTTTTTTTTTTTTTTTAACATAACTTTGTCTTTTTTAATTTATTGATTTTTTTACAGAGAGGAAGGGAGAGGGATAGTTAGAAACATTGATGAGAGAGAAACATCCATCAGCTGCCTCCTGCACACCTCCCACTGGGGATGTGCCTGCAGCCAAGGTACATGCCCTTGACCAGAATCGAACCCGGGACCCTTCAGTCCGCAGGCTGACGCTCTATCCACTGAGCCAAACCGGCCAGGGCATGGAAACATTCTGGAAGTCAGTATTTACTGAGCACCAGTGTCCCTGGTCCTAACGCCCCAGGGAGGGCCAGGGACATCAGAGCCAGGAATTGCCCTGACCTGTGGCCTCCAGAACCCTCAGCCCCCTGCCCCTGGCAGCCCCCCGGGGGGCCCCTGCCTCCTGCACGCCCTCCCATCCCCCCTGATTCCATTGCAGGTCCCCAGGGCCCCCCAGGGAGCCCTGGCCAGGACGGAGCCGTGGGCACCCCTGGAGAAAGGGGACCTCCAGGCCCCCCAGGGCCCCCTGGGCCCCCGGGCCCCCCAGCCCCCGTTGGACCACCCCACGGCCGGATCTCAGAGCATGGTGAGTCTCCCGGGGTCACAGCATCATGTCTGGGGGGGGGGGCGGGCAGTGAGGCTGGCATAAAGCGTCACCACAGTGTCACTGCTGTCTACCAGCCCCTGTAGAGCTTGCTCTCGGTCAGCCACAGGTCACCCCGTCCTAGGACAGGCGCTGTTGTTCCCCCTCTGCTCGCTGACGGGGGAAACTGAGGGCCGGAGAGGGGAAGCCACACAGCCAGAGCCTGGGACTGGCCTCGCACCCAGGCGGCCTCTGAGCCTGTGCCTGGAGCCACCTGGCATCAGGCCTTCCCGCCAAGCCTCGGAGCTGGCCAGGAGCCAGCCCTCCGAGCACACGGAAGGCCGAGGCCCGGCAGCAGGAAGCGGGCCCTGAACTCCCAAGGCTGCAGCCCTGCCCCTGTGCTCAGGGGAGCCCCGGCCGCTCCAGCCAGCTCGGCCCCGACCTCCATCCGTCATCCCGCCCCGGCCCAGCCTGCATGTGTGATGCCGGAGGTCAGAGCCTGGAGTGCCGAGTCCAACCCCGTCCGCGTCGTACTGGTGCCCCATCCACTCGTCCTCCCTCTCCCAGCCTCAGTTTCCTCATCTGTACGATGGGAATGAGGACAGCGCTGACCTCCCAGCGCTCGGCGGCACTCACGCTCAGAAGCCTGGCTCAGCGTGGGGGGTCCGAGAAATGGCAGCTTTTATTATCTTCCCACCGGACACGTGACAGTACGGGCCCAGCAAGGAGAAGAGTCTCGCTGGATGTCACCAGCCAGACCAGCGGCCGGCAAACTCATTTGTCCACAGAGCCACAAATGTCAACAGTACAACGATTGAAATTCCTTTTTTTTGAGAGCCGAAAACCGACTTCTGCGCATGGGGTATTTCTTTTTTGTATTTTATTAATTTTTTACAGAGAGGAAGAGAGAGGGATAGAGAGTTAGAAACATCAATGAGAGGGAAAATATCCATCGGCTGCCTCCTGCACATCCCCCTAATGGGGATGTGCCCGCAAACCAAGGTACATGCCCTTGACGGGAATCGAACCTGAGACCCTTCAGTCCGCGGGCCGATGCTCTATCCACCGAGCCAAACTGGTCAGGGCCCACACGTCGTATTTTGTGGAAGAGTCATACTCAAGGGGCCAAAGAGCCGCATGTGGCTCATGAGCCGCAATTTGCCGACCACTGAGCTACACTGTGGCAGGGATAGAACCCAGATCTCTCTGCCTTCTGGGCCAACACTCTCCCCCATCCCCCTTCCTCCTCTTCCCTCCTGCAGGGGACCCGTTCCTGTCTAACACCTTCACTGAGACCAGCAGCCACTGGCCCCAGGGACCAGCTGGGCCCCCCGGGCCCCCAGGGCCTATTGGTAAGTTGAGCCCAGTTCTAGGGTTCGGGGTGGCAGGGGGACCAGCGCTGGGGCTGTCGGGAGGGAGTTGATGGTAGACTTCCTGCCATTGTGCTCTGCGTTGGTCCTGAGGATATCCTGCCTTTTTGTTTTTTAATTGCACTTATTGGGGTGACATGGGTTAGTAAGATTATAGCGGGTTCAGGTGTCAGGGTGTAATACGTCATCTGCCTATCGTACTGTGCGCTCACCACCCGAAGGCCAGTCTCTAGCATAATCCTGTCTTACTCCAGGTCCCCCCGGGCCTCCTGGTCCCATGGGCATCCCTGGGGGTCCTGGGCACACGGTGAGTATTTCTCCTCCTGCTCTCTCTCGTCTTCCCACCTGTCCGCTCACCCATCCATCCTCTCATCCCTTCATCCGAGCGTGTACGGGGCATGGGACAGACACACTCCTTTTCCTAAAGCTGCTCGTTCAATCCACGTAACAAGAAGTACTGCTGCTGCCAAAACCGGTGTGGCTCAGTGGATAGAGCGTCGGCCTGCGGACTGAAAGGTCCCGGGTTCGATTCCGGTCAAGGGCATGTGCCTTGGTTGCGGGCACATCCCCAGTAGGGGGTGTGCAAGAGGCAGCTGATGGATGATTCTCTCTCATCGATGTTTCTAACTCTCTATCCCTCTCTCTTCCTCTCTGTAAAAAAAATCAATAAAATATATTTTTTTAAAATAAAAAAAGAAGTACCGCTGTTAGCGCCTAAGGCCAAGTGAGACGGCGGTAACTTGCCCTAGGGCTGTGGCCAGCACATGGCGACCTGCAGGCCAAGGTGGGGACTGTCTGGCTCCAGGGCCAGCGTTGTGGACACTGAGCTGTCTGCACGTCCCTCTGTGCATGGCCCCGAGGCCCAGGCCAAGCTGGAGCTTCCTCTGCCCCGCCCTCTTCGCCCGCTCTACCCTGCCCCAGCTCAAGGCTGAAGCCCTGTCTTGTTGTTCAGGGACCCCCGGGCCCCACTGGACCCCAAGGAATCTCTGGCCACCCGGGAGAAAAGGGTGAGAGAGTGAGTACTGAATTGGCCCCGGATGCAGGGTTCTGGGGAGGCATGGGGGGGGGGGGCTCTGGGTGAGACACCCCAACAGCTGAGTCCACTCCTCTCCTTCCTCCCACACAGGGACTGCGTGGAGAGCCAGGCCCACAGGGCTCCATGGGACAGCGGGTGAGTGATGCTGCCCACCCTGCAGCGCCCCCTTCAGGATCCTGTAGGCACAGGCCCCTGCTCTGGCTGCAGCCCCTGTGGCCAGAGCCCCTGACCCTCCTCCCTGTCTGGTCCAGGAGGTGCTCCATCTCCTTCCTCCCCGTCTCAGGCTCGTCCGCCTCCTAAGGTTCGCCACCTCCGTCTCACAGGCTCTGTACCTGTTTCTCTGTGTGTGTGTCTCTGTCTCCTCCACTCCCTGCATTTCTCTCTCCCGCTATCACGGGTTTGTCTGTTTCTCCCTTCAGTTTGGCCGTGGATTTCTACGCTTTGTTGTTAGCTGTATACACATTCAGTATTCTATTGCCTTCTTGGTCCTTTTATCTTTACGCGATACATATCTTTCTTTCTTTGTCTTGAATTCTATTTTGTGCCGTGTTTTATGGTATATATTAGATGCCCGGTGCACGAAATTCATGCACGGGGGTGGGGGGTGGGGAGGGCTGTCCCTCAGCCCAGCCTGGACCCTCTCCAACCTGGGACCCCTCGAGGGATGTCCGACCTGCCCATTCCTGGCAGAGTGTTAACGCCTCCAACTGCAATAGCAGGCCGATCTGGGTCTCCCTGCAGGCCGATCGCTCTTGACCTCCGACTCCTCAGGCCAGTAAAATGAATGCTTTCTGCTTGAGGTGTTTGGGGGACCTAGGGGGCTGGGGTACAGCCCTCAGGGAAAAGCTATGCAAATATGGATGTCACCCAGGGCCGTTTCCTTCTGTCAAAGGGCAAACGTCCTCCAGCTTCTGGCTGCTCTTTCTCGCTCCCCTTTGCCTTCAAACAGTTGTTCTCTGCATTTTATCTAGTGTCCGTCCGATGCGAGCTACTCTCTGTCTCTCTGCCTCCCTCAATAAGTCTCTCTCTCCCTTTTTTTTCCTTCTCCCCTCCCTCCCTTCCTCTCTCATTGCTTCTACCTCTGTTTTTTATTTCCCTTTTCTTCCTTTCTTTCTTTCTTTTTTTTTTGTTTTTTGTTTGTTTTGTTAATCCTCACCTGAGGATATTTTTCCATTGATTTTTAGAGCAAGTGGAAGGGAGAGGGTGACACAGAGAGAAACATTGATGTGAGAGAGACACATCGATGGGTTGCCTCCTGCACACATCCCCACCAGGGCCGGGGAATCTGCAACCCAGGTGCCTGCCCTTGACTGGAATCGAACCTGGGAGACCCTTCAGTCCGAGGGCTGACGCTCTACCCACTGAGCCACACCAGCTCGGGTGCTTCTACCTCTGTTTCTCCTTGCAGGGAGAGCCTGGCCCCAAAGGGGACCCCGGTGAGAAGAGCCAGTGGGTAAGCTCAGGGCCCGCACGGCTGCCCCCGCCTGCCCTGGACACTCAGGAGATTACTTTGGGGTGGGGGCACCTCAGCCACATCCTGGTCTCTCCCAGGGAGGAGCCTTGACCGTTCTCAGGCCTACGCCCCTCCCTTCTCCTCTCCCTCCCGTCGTCGTCATCAGGAGACCCCACGCTCCCTGTCTCTGCCTTCACGTCCCTGCCTCCGCCTTCCCTCCGCGGCCTTTCCAGGCCCGGGCGTCCCTGCCTGTCCTCCGGGCAGTGGGGGCTGACCCAGTCCAGACTGCATCCCTCCCCCAGCTGCCTCGACGGCCCTCCCCTGTCTGCTCCCCTGTCCACAGGAGAAGGGAAGCATGAGGAATGGGACAGGGGCCGTAGGACACCACGGACCCTATATGGGCTGGGAGGCTGGGAGGCTGGAAGGTACCCAGGAGCCCTCGGTGAGCAGCACAGGGCACCCAGACACCGTCACACATGGAGGAAACGCACGGAGCACGGAAGAGAGGCCTAGGAACTGCCCAATGTAGATGGCGCATGAGCTCAGGGGGCCTAGACTCCACCGTGCCCAACGCCCTATAGTTCCCATCACCACACAGGAGGCCCGGGAGGAGTGGGGGGGACACCTAGAAACGGTCAGGGGCACAGGGGAACCACAGGAAGCGAGACGAGGGGGTCTCGGAGGCACCCGCACAGAGGAGGCCAGTGAAGGGTGGGGAGGGGGGCCTAGATTCTGTCCCGTGCACAGGAGACAGAATTAAAGAGAAAGGGCGCCGAGGAACCACAGGCGGGGTCCCAGAAGCCTTCACTCTCACCGGAGACAGCTGCCCAGAATGGATCTCAGGGCCTAGGGTCCACCTGCCCGAGAGACACACCGGGAGAGGCCCAGAAGCCCCTGAAGGCAGGGACCTGGGCACGGCCGCCCACATAGCTGACGGTGGGGAATGGACAGGACGGGCAGACGCCCCTACAGGAGAGAGCCCTGGGAAGCCGATCTGGCGCCTCCCTCTCCCTGCCCCTGTCCCCGGTGCAGTCTGGCTGGGGGTCCTGCTTCCTGGCGGGCACTAGCTGGCAAGGACACGGGGAGCCCCCGGCGCCCGCCTCGCCCTCTCTGCTCCTGGTCGTGGGGTCAGCGACGGATACAGCCGTGGGAGTCCCCCGCCCCGCACGAGTCCAACCCGTGTCTCCCCACGACTCCTGGGGTCCTGCTACCTTTCCGGCAAGCCTCTCCCTGCGCCTCACGGCCACCCCACCTCTCCCCCACCCACCCCCTACCACCCCCCACCCCCGGGGGGCTCCAGAGCCTCTCAAGCATACTTCCACAGGGGCATGAGCTGGGCTGGGGGTCCCGGGTGAGGCCGGCTCTCCGCCTCCCCTCAGCCCCTTCGCTGGCCCCTCCCAGCTCACTTTCCACCCAGCCCGGGGAAGGTGGGAGAGCGAGGTGAAGTCTGAACTGGGCTCAGCAGCCCGGTGCCTACATGGGGATCTCAGCAGGAGGACAGATGCCTGAACTATCCCAGATCAGGCCTCAAACTATCCCATACCAGGACCACCTGTGGGAGGGGCCCCACGAGGTAGCAGGGCCCCTGCCCACCCACCTGCCTCTCCCTCCTCCTCCCCTCCCCCTCCCTCTCCTCCTCCTGCACTTCTGCCCCTGCTTGCTGCCTGCCTGGGAGGGGGCCTGCTGGGCCGGGGGCTGCATGAGGCTTGGAGGCTGGGGAAGCCGTTCTGTTGGGAGCAGGTGGGAATAAGGTCCAGTGTGGGGAAGGGCCAGTGTGGGGTGTCACTCCCATACACACCCTCTTCCAACCCCGCTTGGGAGCCCCTGGCCCCGCTGTGGCTCAGCAGTGACACCCAGTGGCCATGTGCACGCACTGCAGGTGCTGCTAGGGAGTGACAGGTGAGCCAGCTGAGCTAGGACAAAGCTCATATCCCGCATTTAGACCGAAAAACCGAGGCCCAACCCCGAAGAGCAAATGGTTGGCAGAGCTGGAACCGAAATCCAGGCTTTTCAGCTCCCAGGACTTGGGGGACCAGCTAACACCCCCCCCCCAAGCACCTCCTCGGTGGGCCCCAGGTCTCAGGCCATAGATGCAATTTGGACACTTGGCCCCAGCCTAATGGTCTGGACTAGGGAAGGAGGAAAGGAGCGTGAGTTTGGGCCCTGTGCTGTGGAAGGAAAGGACAGACAGATGGGTAGTGAGTGAGAGGGAGTGCCAGCTGGTGGTCTCTGTCAAGACCCCGGGCAGCAGCTGGCATGGCTTGGGAGTAGGGAGCCCCCAGATCAGGGAGGCCTGGGAGGAGGGTAGCTTTCTGGGCCTGCCGCTGCCATATCCCTGGGCCTGGGCACTAGAGAAGCTGCTTAGGAGAGAGGGCGGGGCTGAGGGCGGGGCTCCTGGGCCTGCAGAATACGGGCTTGTAGCAGCGGGACCCTGCGCGGGATGAGCTCACATGAGAAGGAACTAGAGAGAGGGCACCAGGGCCAGCCCTTCAGCGTGGCCAGCATTTCAAACACAGCTTCCCAATGGCAGTGCCACCCAAACATGTTCTCATGTGACTGGTATATATTTATTTCGAATGGAAAGAATATCGGTAAGTAGCCTGACCCCACCGATGGGCACAGACCAACAGTGTGTGGGCTTAAAGAACATTAGAGACGGGGCCAGGGGGCACTTCCTGTGGCAGGTTCCATGGCACCCCTTGTCCCCGGGGGCAGCAGGACTGACAAGGGTGTGGGGAGACAGCAGCCGGCCGGGACCCACCGAGGGGGCTGCTTCTGCCTGCTCTGCCCCCCTCCCGGCCTGTCCCGGCTGCCCGGGGGCCCTGGGCTGCGGCGGGTGGGCAGGCTGCAGGTGCATGGCCCGGGCGGGGCATGGGCCACCGGCAGGCTTCGCAGGGCCCCCTCCCCGCCCCCTTCACGGCTGCATCTGTCTCTTTCCTCCGCAGGGGGAGGGGTTGCACCAACTACGCGAGGCTTTGAAGATTTTAGCTGAGAGGGTTTTAATCTTGGAAACAATGATTGGGCTCTATGGTGAGTAGAGACAGACAGACGGACAGACAGACAGACGGCCCGGCCCCCGCCCGCCAGCCTTTGCCCAGGCCCTCCAGGGTGGAGCCGCCTGGGCCCAGTCACGAGGCCGGAGAGGCTAAGACCCCCCGCCCCTCCATGACTGGTCCCTCCTGCCCAGGGGAACCTGGGCCTCAGGCATTGTGGGTAACGGGGTCTCCAGGCCCGCAGGGGACACCCGTGGCGACAGATTGCGAGTTTGGGAGAAGTGCGCAACGAAGCCCAAACTCCAAACCAGCAGGGAGGGGATTGTGGGTTGCACAGCCAGACTGCAGCAGTGCAGGGGGTCGTGGGAAATGAAGTCAGAGCCCAGGCTGCCTGCAGGAGGATTATGGGTAATGGATCCAGACTTCAGTCAGGCTTCCGCTCTAGAGAAAGCACGGGTAGCAGAGCCGGTCTCCAGGCCCACAGGGACCATAGGTTATGGGGCTGGACTCCAGAAATGCAGGGGACTGCTCAGGCCCCAGGGGCCTCTGGGTAATATCCTACTCACCAATTCTGATCCTCCCTCACCCATAGACCCTCAGAGGCTCTCTCGGCAGGTCTTCCCGGCCTCAGATGCCCCCGGGATGGCTTCCGTTTCCCTCTGGTCCTCCTACCCTCCCCTGAGGGTCCCCTTAAGGGCCTGTCAGGCCCTCACCCCAGCCCAGGAGCTCACCCACCAGTACTCCACCCATCATCCATCCGGTCACGTGAGGAGCCAGGCTAGCCCTGCCCCACTCAGGGACTCCCACCCGGGCTCCTGCCTTGAAGCCAGCGGGTGCCTGGCCCACCAACCCCCTTGGCTGCCCGGCCCCGCCCTCGGAGGCCGGACTCGCACCGTCTGCTCTTCTCGATCTCCCATCAGGCTCCTAGCTTACAGAGCTTCCTGCAGCAGCAGGCTCAGCTGGAGCTCCTGGCCAGACGGGTCACCCTGCTGGAAGCCATCATCTGGCCAGGTAACGGCAGGGCGGGCAGGCAGGGGCGGCTCCTTCCAGGAAGGGCCTGGGAAGAGCCTGGGCTCCCGGTGCTGGAACCAGGCCCGCGGACCTTAAGTCCTTCCATCCATCCAGCTGGCAGACAGCGCCCGGCACAGAGAGGCGAGGGCCACTAGCTCTTGAGGGAGCACCTCCCCTGTGCCCGCCTTCTAGCTCGGCACAGGCTCCAACGGATAAGACGGACATAGTCCTGGTCTCATGGAGCTCAGGCTGTGGGGGTGCAGGGGGAGCCCTGGGCCTGGCCATCAAACCCAAGCTGAGGAATTCCACCTGGGGAGTGAGTCCCGGCAGCTGCGAGAGCACAGGAGTGCCCTTTGCCCCAGGCTGGGCTGGGGGTCTGGGTAGGGCGCCGGGGAGGCGGAAGGTGTCTCAGGGAGGGCTCCTTGGAGGAGGGACCGGCTACGTGGAACCCTGAAAGGCCAAGGTCAAGGGCGAGTGACCAGGCAGAGGAATAACATGGGCAAAAGCCAAGAAGCCAGAGAGCCTAAAGGGGCTGTTTTGTGAGGTTGCGGAGGGCTGAATCGCCCAGTTTGAGAAGGTCCCTGAAGGCAGGTGGGCAGCCACAAAGGGAGGTTAGACAGCAGGTGGTTTGTCAGGCCCAGGAGGTCTCCCCATTGCAGTGCGGTCTGTGGCTGCCCTGGAGAGACACGGATTGGCTACCCTCAGGGCTAAACCCCGCTCCTGCCCTGCCTGCTAAGAGGCCCCATCCCACCACCCAGTCCCAGCTCCTCCCTGCACACAGGGTCTCAGCATCGTGCCCCACTCCCCTCTATGTTACAAGTAGGGGAGTGGAGCCTTCCGCCCCCCCCAGCCAGGGTGGGCCAAGGCCGGGGCTAAGCCTCATTCATTCGACAGACCTGTAGGGTGCACACCTACTGGGTGCCAGGTCCGGACCAGCACTTAGCAGGTCCCAAGGACACCTGCCTTGGGGAGCTGCCCATTGAGCGGCAGGGGACCCTTCGTATCTACAGCGACGAGGGCCCTGGGGTGCAGGAGCTCCTAGGACGTGGGTGGGAACTGTCAGTTCTCAGTGCGGGTGGGACACTTCCTGGGAGATGGGGCCCTGGTGTGAGGTCAGGGAAGAGGCCAGAGGAGAAGGTGGGCAGGGGCAGCCCCCACGGAGTCCTGGGTTGTCACGCGAAGGCCCGGAGCCGGAAGGCGTGCGTGTGGTCTGCTTCCAGAGCTCCTTTACTGACCCCACGGTTCTTCCAACTCCTAGAAACATAACTGACCGCCCCCAGGCCTTCCTCTCCCAGAGGGGGGACCGCGACCTCACCCCAGGCTCCCGCACCTCCTCAGGCGGAGCCAGAGGGACCATGTGGCCCGGGTCCTACTCCCGCGGCCAGCTCTGCCTCCAGCAGCCCCGGGCGGAGCCGCTGCTCGCTCAGGAAGGCCCACGGCCTCTCTGTGGCCACCAGCCAGCTCCGTGGTGGGCCTGGAAGGGGAGCGGGAGGAGGGGAGCAGAGGAAGAGGAGATGGAACCATCCCCGTTGGCCCATCATGCACTGCGGTGCTTACGAAGGCCCAGATGGGGGGACTCACGTTTAGGATCACAATCGAGAGGAACCATCGTGACCGCTGGGCTGGATTCACACTCCTCCCAGGTCCTTCCGGCCCATCTCACAGACGGAGGTTCCCCCGGGGCCGTAGGGACAGCAGTGCGGAGGTCAGGGGTCCACCCTAGGTCGGTCCCTAAAGCCCTGGCTCTCGGAGCTCCATCGGCAAAAGTTCAGACACCTCTGCTCCACCAGGCACTGGGGGACAGCGGGGGGGGGGGGGGGGGGGCGGCGGTCACAAGCTCACCGCCCCAGCCCCCATGGTCATCCAGCTCCTGCTGTGAAAGCCACGTCGCACTCAGGCTGCTAAGGGTGTGACCACAGGGGTGTGATCCAGTTCCAGAGGAGGCTCACGGGCCTGTGACCGGCCCAAGGCCACCCAGCGGGGGCGTGGTGGGACCAGGACCCGGCTAGTGCTGGAGCCCTGCTCCCCTCCTGCCGCCCTCCCTGATGCAGGGCGGGAAACGTCCCTGGACTGGGGCGTGTTTGTTGGCCCAGGTCCCCAGACCTCAGCCCCGGGGGGCACGGGAGGCTGGGCACAGCTCCGGGACATTCGGCCACGGTGAGGCGGTGCCCTCCTGGTGCTGGTGCTGCCACAGGCCGCGCCCCTCCTGTGAGCCGGGGTTCGGAGGGTAGTCAGGGCCTCCATCCTGGGCTTCTCTGCGGAGTGGCTGAGAGGGCCCGAGTGACGGTCTCGGGGGGGGGGGGGGGGGGGGAGGCAGGCCATGCTGTGGGTTTGGAAGGATGAGGAGGGTTCCGGGTGGCAAGAACGCCCATTACTGGTTTCACTCTTGGGGTGTTGCTGGTTTCCAGGCGAGGGCATACCTCACCGCAGCCTCATTGGAGCGGACTTCAGTGATGATAGGGGCTGGCCAGGACCTCGGGGCACAACCGGAACGGTCCCGCTGGTTTCAGAGATGAGACCAGTGAGACCCGGACAGAGGTCCCCTTTGCCCAGAGCCACAGAGTGGGGCAGTGGCAGAGCCTGGCCTTCCTAAGCCCTCCCCCGCCTTAAGTGGCCTGCTCAGAGGCAGGAAAAGCGAGTCTGTCCTTTGCCCTTAGTTTACCCTGCTGTGAAATGGGGACGACTCAGAGCACACCTTCACCCCAAAAAGAGGGTTCTTATGGAGCACTCACTACATACTGAGCATTTCAGGAACATGGTGGGTCCATGGACCCCCACGGGACAGAAAATCAGAGGCCCCCAGTGCCCTCACCGGGCTGGGGACTGACAGCCCCTGAGGCAGGGGACACTAACCAGTTTGCAGATGCCCCTTTCCCTGCAGCTCTGCCCCCTGGATGCCAGGGCAGAGCACACCCGGCTGAGCACCCAGTCTCCCGCCACTCCCCTCCCCCCCACAGAGGGCCATGGGGCGGTGGGTGCCTCCCACAGACCTCACTAACCCTGCCTCTCTCCTTCCCTCCGGCAGAACCAGAGGGGTCGGGGGCAGGCCCCGCCGGCACGGGCACCCCCACCCTCCTTCGGGGCAAGAGGGGAGGACACACAGCCAACTACCGGATCGTGGCCCCCAGGAGCCGCAACGAGAGGGGCTGAGGGGAGGTGGCCCCTCGGGTGGACCGGGCAGCTGCCTCTAGGGGCCGCCAATGCTATTTATTATGTCCTCAGGGTCCCTCTGCCGCCTGGGCCTTTGGGGGAAGCAGGCCTGGGTCCTGGCACCCCAGGATGGCTGCCTCGCATGAGGCCGAGCAGGGATGGGGCGGAGGAGAGGGAGCCCGTGGGGGGGTGGGGCCTGTTTCCCTGTGAAATGGGGTGATGGGGCCTGCAGGGCGGGGGTTTGCCTTCCCATCAGCTGCCCAGGCCTCGGGCCTGCAGGCACTGCGGGAGCTCAGCTCCGCCTGGCCCCCAGCACGTGCAGGCACTTGAAGGAGGGCAGCTCGCCTCCCTCCCTCCCCATCAGACCCCCAACCCCTTCTCCCGTTTCCTGGTTTCTGGTGCTGGGTTCCCGACCCCGAGTCAAGCCGCCTGAGCTGACAGATGTGTGGACTGCTCCACTCAGTTCTGTCCCCGGAGCCCCAAGCTACTCCTGTGTCCCAGGTGGGGGGCGGGGGGCAGGGACATGGAAAGGAAGGAGCCACCTGTGACTGACACCAGGAAGTAGGTGCTTACCGGCCAATAAAGGCCCAGCCTGATGCTCCACCCAGCCTGGTCTCAGTGTGCTTTGATGGGGCAGCTGGCAAGGCCAGGGGCCTCGATTCTCCTCTCAGTGGCCTTCACTGCAGAGCAGGTGTGAGGCTGACCATCCCCTGGGCAGCTGCAGCCGCTCAGGCACCCCGCCCGCCAGCCAGGTGTCCGCCGGCCGTGGGCCTGAGGCCTGGGGAGCCAGGAGCTGCCGGGCCTCAGGGCAGCTTCCAGCCTGGGTACCCAGCAGCCTCTGCGCCCGTTTGCACAACCGAGGAAATGAGAGCAAAGGCGGGGGCCTCGGGCTCCCCGGGCTGTTTCTGGGCCCCAGATGGTGACCAGCAGCAGGTCAGCCTCCAGGTAAGCGGTGCCCACTGCTCCAGGACGTGCAGCCCTGACACCACCCCTCAGATCTGCCTCCCCTCCCCCAGCCCGTTTGAAAATCTCTCACCCACCACCCACCGCCCTGCCTTCTCAGCTGTCTGCGCCTCCCCTCCCTGGGAAGGGCCAAGGCCTGAGCAGGGGCCTGGAGGGAGGAGCTGCCACTTCAAAGCTGAGGAAGCTCCCCCCCCACAGCACCCTCTCCCTTTGCTTCCTGCCCAGGGGGCCCAGCGGGCCCAGCACCAGCCTCCTGCCTGCTCTGAGCCGGGCCTAGGAGACTCACTGAACTGAACTGGGCCCTGCCCAGCGGGTACACGGGGCCGGGGACAGCGGAGGGGCTGCTCCTGGGTAATCGGGGAGGGCTTCCTGGAGGACTCTGTAGGTGGCAGGTGGGTAGAAAGGAGCTGGGAAACAGGCGGTTAAGAGCACTCCTCAGCAAGACCCGAGGTGGAGGACAGCGCCTGGAGGAAGAGGCTGTGAGCAGAGATAGTAACTGCATCTGGACAAAGGGAGCTGCTCTGCGGCCATTGGCTATTGGTTCCCTGTCCATTCATTCATTCATCCCGGTGCCAACGCGGACGAGTCGGATACAATCCCCACGGAGTCCAGGTTGAAAGAACCGGTGTTTATTCTGCACAGTGCACGGCGCTGGGGGGCCCTCCTGCACCCACGAGCTTAGTGCGTGGGGCTGGAACTCGGTGCAGCCATCCACGGGCAAGGGCTCTTGTCGCCGAGGGCCGGCCCGGGCTAGGGGGGCCCAGGACCTTCGGGATGGGCGAGCCCACGGCTCCCCTGAGTCACCAGGGCCTCGGGGCCCACCTCCCCGTTGACCAGCAGTGACACGGCGCCCTCCACGCGCCCTGTGGCTGCGAGCGCCACCACGGCCTGCTCCACGGGGAAGCCCATGCGTTCCAGCTGCTGCAGCCTGTGCGTGCAAGGGGACGGCGGGGAGAGGGTCAGGCAGGGCCGCCTCCAGCCCCCGCCCCGGGGGACCCCGCCCTGTCCGCCCGGGCCTACCGGAGAGAGGACACAGAGGACTTGGGCAGCCAGAGCGGGCTCTGGGGAACCGGGGTCGGCCCCTCAAGGAGCGAGGCCTGGATCCCCTCCTGCAGCATCTGCTCCTCCAGGGCTGCCCACAGCGGGGAGCCGGGAGGGAAGCTGGGCCCGGGCCAGGCCAGGCCAGCCTCTGAGGAGCCCTCCCAGCTCGGCTGCACAGGCCCCAGGCCCGGCGAGCGTGGGGCTGAGCCTTGGCTGGGAGACCGGAGACCAGGCGAGGCTGGGTAAGGAGGCCCGGGGGTAGAAAGCCTGGAAGGGCAGAAACAGAAGAGGGTGTGTGCCAGCCCCTGCCACAGCTCCCGCCACCGCGGCCGGGGTCCCGGGCACCCCCCCTCACCTCACTCCAGGGAGGGTGACGGGCAGCTCGGCCACGCTGCCCGGGGCAGGAAGGAGCCGGAGTGGCCAGCTGCCCAGGGTTCTGCACAGGAGGCCCCTCTGCAGCGCCTGCAGCCTCCGCTCCGAGGGCTCCAGCCACTGGAACGCCCCGGCTGCGTCTGCCTGCCCGGGAGGGCGCCGGTCAAGGAAAACCGCAAGGAGGGAGCCCGATGCCTGCCGGAGCCCGTGCCAAGAGTGCGATGGGCACTGCCTCCTGTCTGCTCACTGTGGCCCTGCCAGGGAGGTCAGCAGCCAGAGTTCATGGAGGAAAACGGGGCGGCCAGGAAGAGGTGCAGCTGCATGCGCCTCACCCCAAACACCTGTCTCACCCCGTTCCGGCCACTGCTGCCCCACTGTGTGCCCAGAGCCCTCTCTGCCTGCTCAGGTCTCTGACTCAGGGCGTAAGCTCGGGCCCAGGGACACAACCCCCTATTGCCCTCGGCCAGGCCAACATGCTCCCCAGACCAGGACTCGGCAAGTAGCGTCCCTAACCCTAAGCAACAATCGGAGGCCGCCTGTGCCCACTCCCCCTCCGCTCGCACTGTTTTCCCAACGGGCACTGAGCACCTTGCAGCAAAAGCCGTGCTTAACGCCCAGAGGGCCCAGCTCACCCTCACCCCTGGCCTTTGCACTGTCTGTGCCCGTCTCCTTTTTCACTTCTCTTTGCCCAAACCCCTCATCCTGTGCGTCTCAGCTTAGATGCCACCACCCCTGGAAAGGTCCCTCCTAGGGGCACCTCAGCCCCCCCGAGTTCCCCTTTAAACTGTAGTTGGCACCTCCGCCCGGCCACAGCCGGAGCCTGGCTAGAGGACTCAGTCGGAGATGTGCCTGGGACGTGGGCACAGCTTTCTGACCCAGGCCACACGTCTCCACAGGCCCCGGGTCTGGGCAAAGGATACAGGCCAGGCCGGCCAGGAGGCCGCAGAGGAGCTGCAGGAAAGGGGGCTCGGAGGTGAGGAGTGGCGTCAGGGCAAGCAGCAACCACGGCAACAGCCACGGGGGCACTGCCCCATGGAGCCCTCTGGGGCGGGACCCCTGCCCCGACAGCATGGCCAGGTGGACGGGCATGTACCCGCAGCCGCCAGCTGCAGCGGACACCCCGAGGCCTGCCAGCAGCGCGGCCATGAGCCCGGCAGCCAGGGCCAGGAGGGCGGAGGCATGCAGGAACCTCAGCGTGCCCAGGCGGCACTCCTGCCGCCAGCCCAGCACGGGCAGCAGCAGCAAACTCAGGAGCAGGCTGGACAGGGCCGTGTGGCCCAGGGCGTGGGTCAGCAGCCGGTGTGCTGGGGGAGAGAAGGGGCTTATGTGCCCGGTTAGTGGCCCCAACCCCCCACGGCTGTCCCAGGTGTGCCAGGCTGGGAACTGCCCTCTGCCAGGGCCACCCCGTAAGCCAGCCTCGCCTCCCCAGGGGCCAAAGGATATTGGTGGAGGGAACCAACGGCCTCCAAACCAAGGCCACTGCCCGCTGCGATGAACAGGACAGGCCAGACCCACCGCTCGGGCTTCTCAAGAGCAGCCAGCGCTGAGGAGGCACTTAACCCGTGGGCGTCGCTGGATTCCTCCCACGTAAATGGGAGCTGCTGTTATTACGGGGAGACTGGCACACAGCTGCCCTTGGCACTCAGCTGGGCTCACTCAAACTCCCTTGTTCCTGCTCAGGGGAACGCCTTAGCTCTTACTCCAAGAACAAGACGTCAGCAACGGGAAGCCTTCGGAGAATTCCTCCTCACAGGCTCTCTCCCACCCCTCCGCCGGCTCTGCCGGAGGGCCGTGGCCGAGCTGGGCATGCTCCGCCCAGGGCTGACCCTCCCGGGGGCATGGCGCTCCTACCAAGCCGTCTTGGGCCATCCGAGGCCCGGGAAGCCGGCCCTCACCCTGCCAGGGGTCCAGCAGCAGCTCCGGGGCCAGGGCCAGGCTGGGGCCGGCCCCCACCAGCCACAGAGAGCTCATGAGCAGCATCAGGACCGAGGAGGCGAGAGGGAGGCCAGGGCGGCCTCTGTCACACATAGCTTGGCTGACGGCGGTCCAGGACAGTCTTGGGGCTGCGTGCTAAGGGTAAAGGAAAACAGTAACAGTTAGTATATCTGCTCTTATCCCATTTCCTTTCCATCGCCCTACAATAGCTCTATGTCACAGAAGCAGGAACTGAGGCCGGAGAGGCAGGCCCAGCAACTCGGCCATAGAGCTCAGATCCTAACCCTGTGCTTGGCCATCTTTCCAGTCCCCTGGCCCTGTGTCTGAGGATGGGGAACAGCCAGGCCGAAAGGGCCCTGAGCTCTGATGAGCCCTCAAGAGCCTGGGGTGGGAGACACAGGGCCAGGAGAGAGGAACGGGGGCCCTGGACTCCCCAAAAGAGGGGTGTAGCCTTCCGGGGCAAATTCAGGGCCATCTCCAGCTTCCTCTGCTTCCCTCCGGCTGCAAACCATCTACCTTCCTCCTCTCCTACCCTCCACTGTGCCCAGCCTTAGACCTCCAAATGGCCTCAGCTGCCCAGACCTGAGACCAGCCAATGGGCAGGCAGGTTAGGGAGGGGGTGGGGCAGAAGGGTTTGAGGAGGGAGGAGTGACCCTGGACTGAGACATTCACTTCCACAGCCCCTCTAGTCCTTCCCCTCCCCCCCCTTTTCACAGGACTGCCCCCTCCTTCCTGCTGTGTGTCGCCGGTGAGCTTTCCAACCTGAGCCTCCTCTTCCTCTTCTTAAAAGGAATGACTGGCCGAAACCGGTGTGGCTCAGTGGATAGAGTGTCAGCCTGCAGACTGAAGGGTCCCAGGGCATGTACCTTGGTAGCCGGCATGTCCCCAGTAGGGGGTGTGCAAGAGGCAGCTGGTCCATGTTTCTCTCTCATTGATGTTTCTAACTCTCTATCCCTCTCTTCCTCTCTGTAAAAAATCAATAAAATAAAATATATATATATATATATATATATATTCTTTTTTTTTTAAATAAGGAATGACTAAGGCAGCCACAACTCCTGTTCATTTAACTGTAGCCATCGGGCTAATGGTGGGAGGCAGGTGTAACCACCAGCGGCCCCAACAAGGGGAGGCCTCAACATGGAGGCAGCTGCTCCAAACTTATATATATATATATATATATATATTTGAGGCCTGGTGCATGAATTCATGCATGGGTGGAAACCAGCTAGCCAGAGGGGACCTGGGTGGTTGGCTGGCCTGCCTGCTGGTCGAATTCCTGGTCAAGGGGACAATTTGCATATTAGCCTTTTATTATATAGGACATACACTGAGTGGCCAATTATGCATTCAAAGATCATAATAATCTAGCCACTCAGAGTGTGTGTGTGTGGCTCGGCATATATATATATATATATATATATATATATATATATATATATATAATTTTATTTTTTAAAGCAAACGCCTTTGCACCTTTAGAAGCCCAGCTCAGACGCCCCCACCCCCTTTTCTGGCCCCCCACATTTCTGGATCTTATACTATCTAATGAGCACAGCTTTAGCTTGGCAGGTGGTCTGAGCTGGAGGTGTGTGTTGGGGATGGGGGGGTCGCTCCTCTTCCTCATCCCCAAGTTGCCTAGGGTGCTCCTCACACCTAGAAGGGTGCTCCTCACACCTGCATGGTGCTGTGTGTGTTCACGGAAAAAAATACACTGGCTCGGCATCCCGCCCACGGGTCTGGGTGAGGAGGCTGGGCTGCAAGTTGAATCGGGAAGCCAAGGCACCCCCTGCAAGCCTCCTCCTGCACCCTCCCCACCCCACCCCCGCCTTAGCGAGGGCGAAGGCCTTCTTCCCCGCGGACACACAGGACTGGGATTGAACCCTCGGGCCGCAGCCTCTGCAGGCTTAAAATGGGGCTTTGCACCTCCAGGCCCCGCCTACCTCACTGGGGAGCCGGAGGATGGAGGGGGAAGGCAAGGACCGGGAAGATTCTTCCCGGTGATGGGTGGAGAGACGGGTGGAGGGGGGCGAGGGCAGGGGGTCCCCAAGGTGCGGATGGACTCAGCTATGTGACTTTTTAAGAAAAGTACCCCATTTCCTCGGGCCCGTTTCCCCTTCTGTAAAAATCAAGGGTATCAGATGAGGGATGATTCGAGGGCTCTTTCAACCTCGACCGTTACTGGGGGCCGGGCGCTTCGACCGGGGCCCCCCATCCAGCCCCCCGGCCTGGGCCCCCGCCGTCCGCAGCCACGTGTCCGGGGTACTCACTGCGGAGCGCAGCGCAGCGCCCCCTCCCCGCGGAGGCCGGGCGGGGCCCCCCGGCTGCGGGTTAGGGGCTCGGGCTCCCGGCGAGGCCCGGGCGCCCGGGGCCCATTCCGCTCGCTCCCGGGCGGGCACGTGACCCTCCCTCCGCCGCCAGCGAATTAGTCAGCAGTTGTCCGGGGCCCAGGTCCCTGCCCCCCGCCCGCCGCCGGCCTCTCCGCTCCCCGGCGGGGACGGCTCTTTCGAGACGGTCCCTAAGGGCCCGCGGACGCAACCACTTGGAACCGCCGGCCTCGCGCGTGGAATCGCTCCGCCTCGACCCGCAGAGCCGCTCAGCCGCCGCCGGTGCCTCCGGGCTAGTGGGGCCGCGCCTCGCAGCCGGCGCCCTTGGGAGAGGATTGGGGGCGGGAGCGGCGGCGGGCGGGCGGGAGGACGAGGCAGCGATGGTTCGGCCCTCCCCCGCCCCCCCCGCGGCCGCGCCCGATGGTAGCGCCCGGGGTTGCGGGCTCCGCGCCTGCGCAGTGCGGCGCCTCGGGGGAAAGGGAGAGGGAGACGGACGTTGAGAGAACGAGGAGGAAGGAGAGAAAATGGCGTCCACGGGTGAGTGTGGGGGAAGCGCGGCCGCGTCGGCGGCGGCCGGGGCGCCCCAGCCGGGGGGCTTACTCGTCTCTGGGGGGTGGTCGGGAACGACTTGAGTGGGGTTCTGAGAACGGGGGGCGGTGAGGGTCCCCGCCACGGGCCGACGAGCTGAAGGAGCCCGCTTTGACCCTCCCCTCCCCCACCGGGCAGGCCGGTTCTGGAATCTTCCAGCGCCCCCGCCGCCGCCGCGCGCGGGGGGCCCGCGGGGCCTCGGGCGGCCTCCATTGTGTGCGGCCGGGCCCCGCGCTCCGGGCCGCCCGCCACGTGGGCGGGGCCTGCGGCCTTCGGGCCCCGCGTGGCGGCGGCGGCGGGGTCGGCCCGGGCCTGGAGCCCCGCACCCCGAACCGGGAGGGGGAGGGAGGAGGGCGCCCCGAACCCCAGGGCGGTTCTGCCTCCCCGCCAAGCCCGCGGGGGAAGCGGATAAACACAAAAAGGCCGCGGGTCTGGGGGGCGAGGGCTCCGGCACCCTCAGGGCCGGGCCCGCGGGCTCCGGCTCCGGCCGCAACTTCTGGCCCCACGACTGGGCTTTAGTATCCGGGTTCGGCCTCCCCCCCAAAAAAAAATTAAATTAAATAAATAAAATCCCGCTGTTCCACGGCTGCTTCGGGTTTTCTGTTTAATCCCGCCCCTTCCCGCCCCAGAAAGCAGGGAAGGAGCCCCGGGCGGCTTTCTCGGCGGACGCGGGGGGAGGGCCGGGGGGGCCGGGGGGAGACAAAGGCCCGGCGGCGGCCGGCTCGCCCGTTTCTTTGCCTAAACGAAGCCGACAGGCCGCTGTGGTGCGGGGTTGGGAAGCGGGAAGCGGGAGGGGGAGGGGAGGAGCGATCTTGGACCGCGAGCTCAGGGACGGGGGCGAGCCTGCGGCGGCTCGAGGGGCCCCCCCTGGCGCCCGGCGCGGTTTTAGGGGCGCCAGCCCGTCCCTGCGCCCGCCCGGGGCGGTTGGCAGGGGCCCGGGCACAGGGGGTGTTGCCTGGGCGGCCTCCCCCCCGGGCTGTAAAGGCCGTGGGAGAAGGAGGAAGTGGAGGGGGGGGCGGAGGGGGAAACGCTCCGAGCTGTAATTTAAGAGAGTCCAGAATCCAGCAACTTCAGGACATTGCTCAGCAGCCGAGCAGGTGGGTGCCAGCTGTGGGTGCCAGGGTACAGGGTGCCCCTAGGAGAGATTGGGTGGCCAGATAGGCCAGGTTCGTGTCTCCTTCGGTTCCGTGTCTGGTTTGCTGCTGCCCACCGTGCACCGGCCGGGCAGGCCCCGCGGGGACGGCGGGCTGAACTTTGGCTCACTTCCCTGCCGAACAGAGGAGTGAGGCCGGGACCTTGGGAGAGCTTTCCCAGCCCTGCCGACCTCTGAGCACAGCGTTATTTTACTGACCCGCAAAGCCGCCCCAGGTCTACAGTCTGGGCGGTGGGCGCAGGCAAGTACCTGAGCCACCGCCTTGGGTAATGCAATGTTAGATTTTTTTTAATCCTTCTTCGTTTTATATGTCAGAAGAGTACTTAAGGCACAGCGTGTGCCCGTTTTAACAACGAATACGGTGCGAACTGCCAATTAACTACCAGTCAGACCAGGAGACGAGAACCTTGCCCAACCCCTGGAGGCCCGCTTGGGCCACAGCCCCTCTCCTCGGCCCGTCCATCTTCAGTGAAATCAGCTGCGTGTTTGGGAGTTAAAGACTCTGGCCAGCGTGTGACTGGCGTGTTTGAGGCCATGTAATGTGTGCTGCAGGCAGATAAGTTCTCGGACGACAACGAATGTCGCTGCCTCCCGGATGCCCTGGCTTCGCGCTGACCTGAGAACACTGGCTGTTCATGCCAGCTCTGCCAGTCTGCTTTACATAACCGCTCTTGTAGGAAGTCCTCTTGCGAACCGGGGACTGAGATGTCAGCGATTGGGTATCCTTTCTCCAGCAGAAGCCTCGGCAGATCGGAGGTGGAAATACTCAGTGTGTGCTTCCTTGGTGTGTGTGTGTGTGTTGTGAAGACCACGGGGGAGTGATTTGCATTTGCTTTGTATTTGCCACATTGAGCGCAGCTTGTAGAGCCGCTGCCTCCAGGTTGGTTTCTCTTGAGCACAATTCCTAGCCTTTGGGCGGCTAGTTTGATCTTGTTGGTGGGGGTTCTGAGTTGGGGGTGCAGGAGGAAAAAGGAAGATGAGCTGGCTTACATGAGATTGCTCTCAGGCCTGGGGACTTGGGAGTA